TAAAGGATTCTATGATTCTATGACTATGTATGAATGTATACAAAGTTAGTACCGAACCCAGCTCCCCCCTGATGGCAACACGTCACCATCACCAACTGGGGAACAACCCCCGGGGAGAGGGTCCCAGGCTGGACTTGGGGACTGGGCACAGGAGCTGGATTCTGAAACTCATTTCAGGAGCACAGGGCTTGGGATCAAAGGCAGGATGGATGGAGTCCTCCTCAGATGCAGCCACTACAGCGGGAGCAGCCACCAGCCCAGCAGCAGCAGATGGAAGTGAGAGAACAGAAAGGGTAAGGGAAGGGCTTGCCCCCCCTGATCCTTCAGCTTTACTGGATATGCCAGCTGTGGGATGGAACACCCCATCGGGGAATCTTGGGGTCACTATCCTGCCCGCTCCTCCCCACAGGTGCAGGGTACTCTCTGCCCAACTCCGTGTGGGATCCAAGCTTGGCAGTGGCCTTGGTCTGCACACCAAGCCCTGGCAGTGACTCTAAACATGGAGTGACTCTAAACTAAGACTCTGAAGTCTTATCACTGCTAAACCCAGACAGTTTGTGAGAATGTTGCTAACTTCAGACAGAGCAGTTAATTAGAAGATCTTTAGCTAAAAAGTAAAATCATTGAGCAAAACCAGCTCTGTTTTACCCCAAACCAGGACACTTTGAAATGTGCAGTCGCTTTCTTTGATAAAGCTTTTTTGCTCTGTATAAAAATATAATCATTTGTCTGCTTCATAGAATAAACCATTGTAATTTAAAACAGGACAGGTCCAAATACTACAAAAAAGTAAAGGCATAATTAAAAGTGATGTGAGAAACTGTTCTGCAACCTAGCTGTTGGTAGCAGCAATTCTAGGATAATCTGAACTACAGCATATTGACACACTGTGCGGGAAGAAGTTCTTGGATTTCCCTCTCATCCTACTGAAAATATCAGGAAATTGGTAACATTTTCTTAAATCTGTGTGAAACTTCATTGTGGGAATCTGCAATGGATTTGTATTTTCTGGAAGAAATTTATTTCTTCTAGGTCACTGTGCTTTGCTTTTTTGTTTTTTTCAGTAGCAGAAGAAATCTTGTAGTGAAGTTTGAAATTATTTTGTGGAGGCCTACTCCTGCAAGGCATTTCATGTGGAGCATTGTGTTCGCAGGAGTATATGTTTATCCAGATTGTATGGTGGGAGTCAAGTCTGGTTACTTATTTACATTTTATACCTTACAAAGCTTATTGTATGTGTGAGAAATTCAGATAAGATGATTTAGAAAGAGGTAGTAGTATTTGTACCTTTTACTGTCTGTACCTTGTTTATCTTTTAAGAAGTTAAGTCTCTGATACATACTGTCTTTCTGAGAAACCTCATATGGCAAAACTTAGTCTACCTCTAGTAATAGAAGATGCTCTGTGTGTTCAATGTAAGACTTCTGTGCTTTAATTTAGGAAAAGGACTGATGGAAAATTAGAACTAGATTATCATAATCAAAAATAATTGCGTTGTTTTGTATGTTCATTGTGTTTCTAGTATTTACCTTGCTAAAGATTGTTTCATAAAAAACACATCTAATCTCTTCAGTGGAAAACATTGTATTCAGGTATCTGCTGTGTTAGGCATGGCTTCATGTGATACATTTGAGGTGTTTGAATGTCACACAAAAGTTTGTATGTGGCTGTATTTTTTTTTCAATCAAATTTAATAGAGGACTGGTGAAAGCTGTTGAACTTGTGCCATGTATTTCTTGTGCTAGGAGTAAGTCAAAGTTATAGGACTTTAACTTCATAGTGTTACAAGTACAATACCAAGTTCTCATGGGATGTGCTAATATTAGATATGGAGAATTATTCCTCTGTTTGTGAGTTGTTTCTTGAAGTTTCTGGTTGTGTAGGGTTTTTTTGTATGGTGTTTGTGTGTGGGTTTGTTGGGGTGTTTTGTTTTGTTTGTTTGTTTGTTTGTTTTCCTGGGATTTTGCTTGATAGCTTCTCTCAGGCGAGTTACAGAACACAGCACTTCAAGCCTTAGAGGCAGAGCAACAAGAACATAGAATAAGCAGGGGAAGCAGATGTATTCCCTCTTCTGTCTGCTGCATGTCTGTTGAATGTGTTCAGATTGACCTGAAGACATTTCTGCATTGTAGAAGTGGTTGGGCTCTGGGTACAGGAGCAAGAGGAGATGTGTGGGTGTTGCCTATATGTAAAAAGCTGGTTATAGGGTTACAAAATTAACAGTCAGCTGTGGAATTGGAAGCTGCCACTTTTCCAACTGGGAGTGGTAATTGGAATCCTGGTCATTTCAGCTGCTTACCTCAGTTTACATGACTTGTCTGTGATCTCACCCCTTTACTGCAAAATACACACACGAGTATATTTGAAATGTGTACAGGGCTGCACTTAGCATGTCTGTCTATCGGTATGAGAAGTTTGTCCTTTGACTGGGATGTAGTTTAAAATACGTTCTGCTGAAGAATATAAAGAATATGTAGTCTTGGGTCTGTTGGTCCTTGCAGTGTTGAAAAAGATGTGTGGTTTTGCAGAATCACAGGCTAGCTGAGGTTGGAACTAGTTGGAAGGGACTTCTGGAGATACCTACTCTGGACCCCTGCTCAAAGCAAGGTCAGCTAGAACAGGTTGCTCAGGGCTGTGTCCAGTCAGGATTTGAATATCTCTTAAGGACAGAGAGACTTCAACCCTGTCTGGAGAACCTGATGAGTCCTGTGTTCACCTAGCTTGTTGGATTGTGTTGGAATGTGTATCATCATAGATGATGCAGAATTGAATTTATGTGGACTGCTTTAAGGATGACATTTGCTATTTATCTCCTATGAAGTTTCACCTTAAATTTTTTTCTTGACACAGCTTGCTCTCCAGATGCTTCCCCCTCCCCCCTTACATCTTTCTGTCACTTGTTTTTGAGCAGTAGCTATATTATTGTAAGTGTAAAGGAGGAGATGGATATTAATATGGGAGGCAACTGTTTAAATCTTAATTGCAATGAAATAGGCAGTAATAATAATTCCTTCCTTTCAGAATTACATGGGTTGGTTTAAAATGCTTATAAAGGACTACATCTGACGCTTTATCTTTTTAACAAAAGCCATAATAACAAGTTGGCCATTTCAGACATTTCAAATGTTGAACTCAACTTCATCTCCCTTCTTTTCCAGTTGCTGCTGTAGTATTATTCTATACAGCCCAAAGCCCACATAATATACCTCTGACCGAAGTCGTTGGGCCAGTATGGCTAATGTTGCTACTTGGAACTGTGCATTGTCAGATTGTTTCAACACGAACTCCTAAGCCAGCTCCCAGCACAGGGGGTAAAAGAAGAAGGTATAATCTAAATATTAAAGTACTTAACATTTAGGATTGCTCAGCTATTCTAAAGAACTGCATGATAAAATGTAGGGGGTTACGGTGTCTGCCTTGCAAGGGCTAAGAAATTTGTGCTCTGTTTTGATCTGAAACTTTAAAATGGGTGCTTAATTGATGCTCTTTAACTTTTTATGCGTTGACTAATTTATTCATTGCTTTATTTGAATTTCAGTGCATTGAATCTAACAGTTTGCATCTGAATAGTGATGGAGCAACAGTATTTTTATTATTCCAGATTTAGTTCTAGAACTCTAGAATACTGACTAGTGACCTCTGGGGGGAAATGTACAGAGGACCTATTGGAAACATAGAACTTAAGTCTTCCAGCACTTCACTGAGTGTGGTTTCCTTCAGTGAATTGTCCCTTTAAAATGGGGAGAACCTGCAGTAGTGAATTTTGCAGGTCTGTGCAGCTGTGATGATGAGATGAAATGTATTTGGGTTAAGTGTTACTATGATAAATGTTTTGCTTAGTTTTATTAATTAGAGTTTATTAAATTGCCATGGTAAAGCTTTAAAAACTATTTTGAAATCTTGCTTGTTTTTGCATGCTTAAACTGCTGAACACGTTATAGAACTAGCAGATTGCACTTACAAAACTACCTTCCAATTTTAATCTCTTCTGATGAAGGAAATTAAGGAAAGCAGCACATTTGGAAGTACATAGGGAAGGAGATGGCTCTAGTACCACAGATAACACACAGGAAGGAACAGTGCAGAGCTACGGTACAAGCACCTCTTGCAGTATTGGCGCTGTCTTCAGAGATATCTGGCATGCTGCTTTCTTTTTATCAGGGTTTGTATTTATTCAAGGCTACGTATGTGTTAGAGATGCACTATCCCTTTTCTAAATAAATATTGATGTAATGATTAAACTTTTGTTGATCTAGGTTTTGTTTTTAATAGTAAAATCTCAGTATTTGAACATGTACTAATGTGTTGTTTCTTGACTTGTGCAAATGCTGATGGAACAGTTTTGAAAAGATATTGAATTAACTTTTAGTTAAATTGTATTTTGACGTAGGAGTGCTCTGTGTGGGCTATTGGGAACTAACCAACTCACAGTTTCTCAATTTTAATCCAAAGAGAAAATTTGACTCTTTCATTTTACTTTATTGCATTAACCTCTTACTACTCTAGAGAGAGTGCTTGTTGAACTCCGTGGCTGTCATCAAATCACACACTTTTTCTGAAGGAAAAAACCTATGGGATTCAGATAGACACAGCCTTTACTTCATAGATAAGCACTGAAGATAGGTTTTCTAATAATTGGAAGAAACATCTAATTTTGCAAAACAGCTTTGCAATGTAACAGATGATTGGCCTGTTAATGCAGTGCTCGGGGCAATTAAAGCTTTTTAAAGTTGTTTTTAACAAAACAACATTTTGTAGCAGTCTATGCTCAAGATATGCTATACACACAACATTGTGAGTGCTATATATCAGTGTTTATTAACAACAGAAAATATGCTCATAAAGTAGTATAAAATTGGGAAGAGGGATACTGCAAGTCACTACATTGATGTTTTGTTGTGCATGCTGCATCTTAAATATGGCAACACTAACATGTCTGTCAGACTTGTGATATGTGCTCTTAATCACTGGTAAAGCTTATCTTAATGTTACATTCTGGGAATATCTAGTTGAAACTCTGGAGAAGTTTTAAAAATGTTGAAAGAGGGGAGTTTTTTTTTCTTTTTTTTTTTTTTTTCTTTCTTTCTCTCCTGTGTAGATTAAGCTAGCTTGGACAAATTACTGTTCTTTGGGTCTGTATGCATTACTTTCTGGTATGTTCAAAGTATAATCTTGTAAACTTCTGAATGTTTTCCATTCAATGAAGATACAGATCTGCAATTAGAAAAAGAGTGTTGGAAGAGTATGTCTTTTCCTCAACTTCACTCATACGAGCTCAGTGTTTTCAGTTGACAAGGGCTGTGTGGGACTTGCTCTAAGGATTTGTTTAAACCATTTTTTGAGAGGTAGTATATGTGTGTGTGTATATATATATAGATGTTAAGCCTCAGTGATGACTACTTAGTATCTACAGTATCTTCAACGGATAAAGAGCACATAGTGACTGAATGCTGTAAGTAGCCCTCAGTCATTTGTTACCTCTTCAGTTGCAGGGGCACAGTTGTTTGTATGTCTGGAGCCATACAAACCATATCAGGAACTCGTCCAGCTGAAAAATAACCTTTTTTTTCCCAGGAGATCAGGCAGATCAGTTTCTTCATGTAAATTTTTTTTTCTTTTTTTTTTTTTTTTTTTTTTTTTTTTTTTTTTTTGGATATGCAGTTTTGTCAGCCCAGTGGCATGGCAGAGTGGGGGGTTCTTAAGACATATTTTTAAGCTCTTTAGGTAAGCACATTAAAATGTCTCAGTAGTGTTTATTTACAGCTTTTCACATATATTAAGCTTTGAGATGTAATTTTCTGGAGTTTTCAGATACGGGTGTTAAACCCGTGGTTTCAAAATTAGCCTCAGAAATTATCTTCTGTGCTTTAGGGCAAGACCCTGCCTGCCTAAACCAGGTCGTTGGTAATCTGGAACTGTCTTCAATAAATATCTTTCTGATTGGCAGAACTCAGTGTGATTGATAAGATATAACTATAAATTTAGTCCCTTCCAACACATTACAGTCTGATTCCTAGTAGGTTTCAAGTTTCATGTGAAATGTATGAAAACTTCTGAAATCAAACTTGGGAGAGTTGTCCTCCACTAGTGCAGCTTAGTAAGTTGTGGGGTGAGTCTCTCTAACCAGATGTGTGTATGCACGTATATGATGAGAACTGCATTCCCTTTTGCACTGCTAAAAAGAAATTTTAGTGTCAAAAGTATATTTAATGCATTAAAAGTTGGCCTCTCTGGGTTCCTGATTATTGCAGAGAATTAATTATTAGTGCTACTTTCTTAGTGCTCACAACTGACCATACTGAGTAACGTTATTTTACTTGAGTTTCATGAGCCACTGAAAGGCTGTTACTTGCTTTATTCCAGAAGTGGAACAGAAATTTTTTCTATTATTTTCAGTTTTCTTCCTTGAGTTGTCTTATCTTCATCAACTTAGTTAAACACTGATATTATGAAACAGCACAGAAATAAAGTCCTAATGTATTTACTCTTGGTTGTACCCTTTTTGTCCAAAGCCTCAGTAACATTTGTGATGATCTTCTTAATGACCTAGAAAATTAAAACTCTGTGTGAGCTAGCACATTGGTAGTCTGTGGACAGGAGGCTTACTAATTGCTTCTCCATCACAAAACACATGCAACAGCATCTTGCTGTCTCTTTATAAGCTTATAATAAAAATTATTCCATGCAAATCTGTAATAGTGACAGAAAGTGTTCTTGCTGGCTTGGCACACATTTAGGAATAAAGCTGACCAAGAATTTTTGATATAGCAGGTGAGTTCTATAGCTTCCTTCAAGAGCTTCCTACAAGAGAAGTAGAGCAGCAGTTACTTTGGTTTGAAAAAAAAAATAGAAATGATGTTAGCTTCTTCCCAGGAAGGGGATGAGGGAAGGTGGATTGAGATAAAAGATGGTAAGGAAGGATGAAACATCTTAGTAATTTTATTTCTTCACTTCATTATTTCATCCAACAGAGTAATTATTCCTTTTTGGATTTTTCCATGTTATCCAGCTCTCCCTAGCTATTATTTTTTTTGTTTTCAGGTCTCTCCTGTATATGAGTAATACTTTATCTTGAGAGGATTGTGAAGCAACTATCCCAATTCTGATTCATTTGGTATACCTATTAAAGAGCAATTTAATCTGCTGTGTAATCTAAACTCTCACAGATTGCCTCACTCCTTAAAGAGACAGGCAACGCATATTCCCTCATAGGAGCAGAAAATCAATTGAACAAATTCTTGATAGTTTTATGACCTATGTCTAGCATTGTACTTGTGATAAAAATATCAGGGAAAGTTGGTTTAGAACCCTTTTCTCCTCCACAAGTGTTCTGGGAATCTAACAAACATAAATATAAGGCACTAATTGCTGTTCTGTTTGGTGGTGGTGGTTTGTTGGTGTGTTGTTGTTTTTTGTTTTTTTATTTTTCCCTGTGTCATTTACTGTGAGAATGCAGAATCTTAAGTGAAGATGCAAAGTAGTCACTGTCAATAAGGTTTCAAGCTGCTATTCCTTGTCATTCCTTCATCAACTACACTTTCTAATTTGGAAGTGTAATCATCCGGATGTTTGCTTTGAGAAAGCCTTTTTCTGGCCTTAGATATTCTTGCTGCTACATCTATTGACTAGATGAGGGCTTTGACATCTAGAGAATGGTACAGAAAGGCTCTTCATCAGTATTAGTAGTCCTAAGAGTAATAATACTGAAGCATAATTCATAAACATATTTTGTGCTTTGAAAACAGGCTTAATAAGTGTGTACATACATATCAAATACATTGCCAGGAGTGTTACTGGATAATACGGAAAAGGGTAAATAAATCACCTTCTGTTTGGTGGAGCTGTCAATTAACAGAGTGTATTTTAAACAACAACAACAAAAATATCTGTATACAGAATACTAAACAGCATGTTTGTTTACACCTTCAGGAAATGGCACACTTGCTTTCAGTTAATAACATGTAAACTTACAGCATGCCTCTTTTATTGTTAAGATAGAACAGGGAAGTTTCTTGTTTACATTTGAGGCTTGTGGTTCTTCCATTGCCAGAATTACTGTGAAGTTTTAGTTTTAAAACAGATTTGCTTTTCTCTCCAGTACCTAATGGTACAATTTTCTTTCAAATGCTGATGGTTTCTTTTGTAACAATTTTAGGATATTATTTAGAAGATTATATGATTACAAGCATTGCATTAAAAGTTAATATTATTAGTTTGTGGTCATCTTGGTAGTAAAACTAAAACATGGGTTGAGAGGGATAAACAGGATTTAGACCAGGAAAACTTTAGCTTAATACATATATTTGTTTCAAATATAGATCTAAGAAAGCAAAAAACTCAATAGATAAATCCACTGAGACTGACAATGGCTACGTGTCCCTTGATGGGAAAAAGACAGGTAAAAGCACTGAGGAATGTGTGCAGGCTCATGATCGTCGGTGTGAAGTGATTAAGCCAGAAGAGTCAGGGTGGAACACTGCAGCAGTGAGAGATGCCTTCAACAACCACAGTCATCACAAAGTAAGTATGCTTTGTTGCTTTCAAAGCAGGATTATTAATTTGTCAGGTGATACGAGGTGTATTTTTATGGTGCTTTTGATGCATTCTTTTTTATTTAATCTTTAAAAATATTTAAAAAATAAAATCAGGTTTAGGGTCCTGGGGCTAAAAATTGTCTTTTTATTTAATCCTTCTGTTCCTGGCCTTTCCTTTTTCTCACAGGAGGCTCCTTACTAATACCTAAACGTTCTTTGCCATTCTGTATTTCAATGCACAAATTTGTGTGCTGTGTTTTATCTGTGGATTAGACCATTTAAACACTGTATCTTTTCCCGCCTCTTTGATACTCTGGGCACAGGTGTGTCTCTGTGCTAAAATGGAACAAAATTACTATCAATTTGTAACTTTGAGGTCATTCTGTGCATTTGCCTGTGAATCATCGTCCTTTTAAATTTATTTTTTTTTTTTTTTTTTTTTAATTTATCTCAGCAGAAGGTGAGGAAAGCACAATTTCCTGCTCAGTGAAGTAGGCAGGACTCTCTGTAGTGAAGAAAGGGATGAGGCAGAAGCGTAGCAAGTGGTCGTGAAGGAAGACAGAATTTTCAATTTGGCTGGGTCTGATTCTCTCCTGGATATCCTGATTTGATCTTACTGTTCTACAGAACAGCTTTTCCAAAATGTTTTCCCTGGCTCTCCTATCATTGGCGTTTGAACATATACTGAATGCAATTACAGCTCTTACACTTGACACTGTCTCACTACACTTTACCATTAATGATCAGTCATAGAAAGGGTTTTTCCATGATAATATCAAAGGGAAAGATTATTTTACTGGAAGTCTGCAGGTACCCATCTTTATAAAAGAAAGACATTGTGAATTCCGTAGCCAAATTATCTGACAGCCCCCTCAGGGATCGGTGTGATTAAGTCAGAATGAAGGTGATGAAGGTTTGCCTCAGGGCAAAAACTTCACTCTGTTACTCTGCAGGTGATACTTTCTCAGCAGTGATAGCAGCTGATACTCAGTTGTATTTATCAATTCCAAGCATTTTACATTCTTTATGAAATTTGACCAATAATGGTTTGTAAAGAAAAAGTAATTTTAAAGAGTGTTAAGTTTTTTTTGATAGAATGGATGAGATGTTGTGTATGTTTAACTTGGTAACTGCACACCCATGATAAAGAGGAGCTGGCAGAGGCTAGAATAGGCTCTTTCTTATCCCTTCCTCCAAAGGCAATCAACACATTTTGGTGTCACTGCCAAAGTCAGTGGATAAGACATCCCAGACTGTTCTGCCTGTCCTCTTTCTCTGTGCAACTGAATTGTTAAAGTGAAATGACCTGACCTTGAAGACTCCAAAGGAAATTTTACAAGGTCCTATTTGGTGGTCTCATAGTTAATGAGAATATACAAAAAATGTGACAGCTGAATGACCCCTTACTGCCCTTTTTTTGTTTCTGTAAAGGCTGCTTTAACTTGAGTTTAAATGGAAAGTGGAGTAGGTTAATGGTCTGAGTATTCTACATGCAATCTGTAGCACTTCATTATTAGAAGAGGTGGTGAATGTTAACTTTGAAGTGTACATGTTAGTGACTTATTGCTATAGAGTCTGCTGTCACAATTTTTATCTAAAGCTTGATGTATTGCCTCTAAGACTTTCTTGGTAGGTTCAGTTTAGAAAAAATCACATTTCAAGTAAGAATGTCAGCTTTGTTCTTTAATATAATATGAACCAGCCTTTTCATCTGGGAAATGTTTGCTTTGGTATTACAATTTTGCTGTGCCACTTAATTTTGACAACTGGAAAGGCATTAATAATCTGTTTACCTGAGCATAGTTAATAATGTTGCAGAAAGAAATTTTATTTTAGTAGTTAAGAAAAACACATAGCAAGAATGAGAATATATGCTACTAATGCCATACTTCTTGCATTAGGATACTCACAGGACTGTGACAAATTTATCAGATGAAGTTTCTAGTGAGGAAGGACCTGAAACTGGATATTCTTTGCGTCGTAATGTAGAACGTGCTTCTAGTGAAGGTACGCTCCGAAACAGGAAATCTCACCACTATAAGAAACACTATCCTCTGGAGGTATGTTCTTTTCCATTGCTGCTTTTCTGTAAATTGTTAAAACCTCTTCTTAGTGAACAGATAGATTTTCCTGAAACCTTTCTTCTCCTATATTGGATTTTAGGAGTCTGTTAATTGGAAGTTATGCTAGTGGGGGACAGTTGTTTGATTGTTTTTTTCTCTTTTAAAGACAGTGTTTTGAAATTAAGAGTGTTTTATTTAGTTGATTTGAGTTTCATTGTTTTTCAATTTGTTTTAATAAAGAATATTCTGTGGATCTTTCATCAGCTAATGGTGAACTCTGTTGCTGTCTTCTGACACCATTTTTCTGCTGAAACTTGACTTGTTACAGAAACAGTACTAATTGGCAATATGCAAATTTTCATCATGCTAGTGCTGCTCTTTCTTTCAGCTTAGTTTAGTGTTTTGGATTCACTAGCCTCCTTTTGGGAAGTCTGATTGAATCTACCTCTGTTTTCATTCTTTCATGTTTATTGAAACAATTTAAAATACTGTAATGAAATCTGAACAAAATTGTTAATGCATAAAGGTACTGAAATTTTAAGAAACTTGATGACATGATATATTTGTTAGACGAGGGGAATTCATAGATTCCATATTAGAATTGTAGAATGATTTAGATTGGAAAAGACCTTTAAGATCGTCGTGTCCAACCATTAACCGGATTTTACCAAATTCACTGCTAAGCCATGTCCCTAAGCCCTGTGTCTACATGAATTTTAAACATGTGTAGGCAAGGTGATTCACCCCCTTCCCTGGGTAGCCTGTTCCAGTGAACAATGGTAGTGTTCCACTGAAGAACAGATAACCCTTTCAGTGAAGAAATTTTTCCTAATATCCAACCTAAACTTCCCCTTGCACAACTTGAAGCCATTTCCTCTTGTCCTACTGCTTGTTACTTGGGAGAACAGACCAACCCCCACCTTTCTACAACCTCCTTCCAGGTAGCTGTAGAGAGCACTAAGGTGTCCCATGAGCCTCATTTTCTCCAGGATAAACAACCCCAGTTCCCTCAGACAGTCCTTATAAGACTTGTATTCTAGACCCTTCAGCAGCTTCATTGCCCTCCTTTGGACACGCTCCAGCACCTCAATGCCTTTCTTGTATCGAGGTGCCCAAAACTGAACCCAGTATTTCAAGTGTGGCCTCACCAGTTTTGAGTACAGGGGAACAATCACTTCCCTAGCAGTTCTGGCCACACTATTTCTGATCTAAGCCAGGATGCTGTTGGCCTTCTCTGGACCTGCTCCATCATCTTTATGTTCTCCTTGTAGTGAGGTGCTCAAAACTGAAGGACAGTACTTGAGGTGTAGAGCAGAGTGCTTAATCCTAAGGATTCGAAGTTGAAAGAGAAAGGGATATGTTATTGTGTTTTTATTTACTTATAATTTCAAAGAAATTATGCTTTTTTTTGCTAGTGGTATACAACATAACAGATAAATGGAGCATTGTTTTTTAAAGGCTTTATTGACTTTTTTTCTTGATATTCTGAGAAAAGAGTGTAAAGAGTAATTTCAGCTCTGTCAAAAGTCCAGTTACAGATGGGGTTAATAGGCAGAGCCTCATTAGTAAGCTTTCTACTTGATATGAGAAACATCTCCTTAGAAAGATTCAGATACTGCTCTGTCATAACGATTGCAAAGTTTTGATGCTTTGCATAAGGATGTTATTAGATAATCTATTATTTAATTTATTTCTCACAGACTTTGAAAAAGATCCAGAGGGCTGATAGATTTGAGTGTTTAATGCCTTATGTGTGATTGGGTTTGGATAACGGAACAGGTCGATACTTGGAACTGATACTACAGGAGAAGTCCCTTGACTTCTGCAGCTGGTAGAGCTTGACAAGAGGAAGCAGAAAAACATGATTACGGCGAATTTTTCTTTGGCTTAAGTACATTTTTGCCTTGCTTAGAGAACTTCAGAACTAGGGAAGACTGTAGATATCTTCAGAAACTGAAGAGACTAAATTTGCACTGTGTGAAGCTTTGGCAGAAGTGCTTCACACTTGTTGCCCGTTTACTTCTCTGACTGATGCCATGAAAGAGGAAGCCTTTCTTGTTGTCAATTTGCCTCCCACACAGGATTACAAAGGAAATGAAACAATGGTTTTCAAATCTGTGAAAACTTTCTTTGTATTTAAAAAAAAAAAAAATTAGTGAAGTCACTGGATGTGCTCTCAAATTCTGTCCTACATTTTCCTTCATGTTTGCTTATCAACTTAATTGTTTGAGCAAGCTTCTTTAATGTTCTACTTTATTAACTTCATGATTCAATGAAATGCAGTAGTGACTGCTTTCTATAAATATCTTTTTTAGGAGAAAAAAATAGTTTAGACTCTGTCTGCATTGATGTTATCCCTCACTTT